AGGTAAGTGTAGGAGTGAGTTAGTGTGTGTCAGAGGGCCGGGCAGACTTCTGATATTGCTGCACACTGAGAAACAGAAGCAGTCAGTAGAGGTGGCTGTGTGAAAGAAAATGCCGCCAGTCTAATATGTGAACGTAGGGTGATGAATAATGAAAAGCATTCCAGTTGTAACTGGTTTTCCGTGGAATGATGTTTGTGTCAGTTCTGAAGGCAGCAGCTGGCATTGCATGTGTAACTGGAAGCAGAAGAAGCTGTGCCATGTTGTTATTGGAGAAGAAGCATGTATGTCGTGAAGGGGGAAGCATTAGGAGTTCTGGGACGAATGTGTTGCACAGCTTCATTTGAACAGAAACATTTTCAGCTGAATCAAACCAAGGAGCCTTTTAGTATACTGCTGACAGGTCCTGGTGTAATGATGCAAGCATTGCTATGCAGTACAAACTCTCGCCATGCTAGCTAACTGGTTTACATGGGCGTCCAAGAATGAAAGGCCTCCTCCTTATTCATCGAGTAGCACATTCACAGCAGCATTAGAACAAGGAAACCCGAGAAGCTGACCTTCTTCTCAGCAGCATTTAAAAAGTATACTTCCTATAAATCACATCCGAAAAGCTACCTCTCCTATAGTCTTTGAAGTGCATATTAGGCGCATCAGACTTTCTGCCTGAACAGTGGTTAAGCAGCGGTTCAAATACATGGGCAGCTGGCCAACAGAATGTCAATGAAGTCCAGTCCACCTTCACCTGGATTAGCCTACATGTGACACCAGACCTGCAGCAATGTGGTTGACTCTCAACTGCTCTCCAAAATGGCCTAGCAAACCACTTAATTGTATGAATTGCTAGGAGGTCTCAAAGAAATGTAACTAGATGGACTACCTGGCATCGACCTAGGCACCAGAAAAGACAATGGCAGAAATGGCCTTGTTGACCCTGCAAAGTCTTCCTTACTAACATCTGGGGACTAGTGCCAAAATTGGAAGAGCTGTCTCACAGATGAGTCAAGCAATACAGTCATACCTGACAGACAATGTCCCAGACACCACCATCACCATCCCTGGATACGTCCTGTTCCACTGGCAGGACAGACCCAGCAGAGGGGTGGCACTGTGGTATACCGTTGGGAGGGAGTTGTGCTGGGAGTCTTCAACATTGACTCCGCACCCCATGAAGTGTCATATCTTCAGGTCAATCGTGGACAAGGAAACCTCCTGCTGGTAACTGGATACCATTCTCCCTCTGCTAATGAATCAGTACTCCTCCATGCTGAACAACATTTGGAGGAAGCACGGAGGGTGGTAAGGGTGCAAAATGTACTCTGAGTGGGGGATTTCAATGTCCACTACCAAGAGTGGCTTGGCAGCAGCATTACTGACATCGCTGCTACACTGGACATGCAAAAGATGGTGAGGGAGCCAACAAGAAAGAAAAAAGATATTTGACTGCATCCTTACAAACTGCAGGCTTCAGATGCATCTGTTCATGACAGCATCGGTAGAAGTGACCACTACACAGTCCTTGTGGAGATGAAATCCTGCCTTCACATTGAGAATAATCTCTATCATATTGTGTGGCACTATCATTGTGCTAAATAGAACAGACTTCGAACAGATCTAGCAACTCAAGACTGGGCATCCATGAGGCACTATGGGCCATCAACAGCAGCAGAATTGTACTCCAGCACAATCTGTAACCTCACGGCCTGGCATATTCCCCACTCAATTATTACCATCAAGCCAGGGGATCAACATAGTTCAATACAGAGTGCTGGAGGGCATGCCAGGAGCAGCACCAGGCATACCTAAAAATGAGGTGTTGACCTGGTGAAGTACACCAAACAGCAGAAGCAACAAGTGATATACAGAGAACTAAGAGATCCCACAACTAACAGATCAGATCTAAGCCCTATCACCTCCAGTCGTGAATGGTGGTGGACAATTAAACAACTCACTGGAGGAGGAGACCTCACAAATATCCCCATCCTCAATGATGGAAGAGATCAGTGCATTGTGAAAAAGATAAGGCTGAAGCATTCACAGCAATCTTGAGCCACAAGTGCCGAGTGGATGGTCCATCTCCGCCTCCTCCAGTGGTCCCCAGCATTACAGTTACCAGTCTTCAGCCAATTTGATTCACTCTATGTGATATCAAGAAACGGTTGGAGACACTGGATACTGCAAAGGCTATGGGCCCTGACAACATTCCGTCAATAGTACTGAAGACATGCTCCAGAACTTGTCGCTCCCCTAGCCAAGCTGTTACACTGGTACCTACCCGGCAATATGGAAAATTGCCCAAGTGTGTCCTGTACATAAAATGCAGGACAAATCCAACCCGGCCAATTACCACGCTATCAGTCTACTCTCAATCATCAGTAAAGTGATGGAAATTGTCATCAACAGTGCTATCAAGTAGCACCTGCACAGAGATAAGCTGCTCAGTGATGCCCACCTGGGTTCACCAGGGCCACTCAGCTCTTGACCTCATTACAGCCTTCATTCAAACATGGACAAAAGAGCTGAATTCTGGAGGTGGTGTATAATGTGGTTAAATGTGAAGTTGTTCATTTTGACAGGAAGAATAGAAATTCAGAGTATTATTTAAATAACGAATGACTGTAGAATTTCAAGGTGCAGAGGAATCTAAGGGTTCCAGAGCATTCATCACAAAAAAAGGTGAATATGCAGGTACAGCATGTGATTAGGAAGACTAATGGAATACTACACCTTATTACGAGAGGAATTGAATGCAAAAGTATGGATAATAAAAATAGAAAGTACTCAGCAGATGTGATAACATAAAGGTAAATTTCATGTTGTGCTTCAGTTGTAAAAGGGCATTGGTGAGACCACATCTTAAATATTGTGTACCTTTTGGTCTCATTTAAAGAAGGATGTAAATGCATTGAATGCGGTGCAGAGGATGTTTACTAGATTGATATCTGCAACAAGTGAGTGATCTTATGAGGAAAGATTGGACAGCCTGAGCTTGCTTTTCAGCAGAGTTTAAGGCCAAGGGGTGACTTGATTCAAACATGCAAGATCCTAAATGATCTCAAAAAGGTGAAAGTGGAAAGGATGTTTCCTTTTGTGAGTGAGTCCAGAACGGACAGACACTGTTTGAACATTATGGTTGTATTCTGAGGACAGAGATGAAGGAAATTGTTTGCTGTAAGTGTTGTGTGATTTTGGTACTCTGCCTCAGAAGATTTTGGATACAGAGTTATTGAACTATCACAAAAACATTCTATAAACTCATCTTCAAGGTTACTATTGCCAATCAGATTGTTCCAGTTTTTATGTAGACTAAACTTACTCATTGCCTTTGCTGTTCCCTTGTCACAAGCACCCAATATTTCTTCTTCCAGATGTTTTCCCAATCAACCTGCTCAGACATGTGATTATTACATTTCCAGGGCATGTGAGACTTGAAACCAGGCAGTCTGCATGAGAGGTGGGTGTTTTGACTCTGCACAACAACAGCCCTATACAGTTGGTTCTGCTGTAATGCATGTTCCAGCAAAGCAAGTTGGCTATAATGCGACTGACACGATTTCTAAAACGCAAACTTGTGTTGGCTATAACACGATTCTATCGGTATATGTCGACATCACATGATCATTTCATGGGCTTTTGTCCTGAGCACGCTCAATATTCACGCCAAAAGAGTTTCCAGCATCATATGATATTGCATTAACAGAGCAAAACCTCCTCTCCCATCAAGTCATCTTGACATTTTTTCAAGGTAATGTGTTAAATTTACTTTTATTTCATTAATAGATATGAAGTAAACATTTATTCAAACTGTGCTATCCTTTGTGTTAGGCTTGAGTGATTGAGTGTTGTTTTGGTAATCTGCCCCTAAACCCGCTTTTCCCACAGGCCCTGTTATTTCTATAGCACAATTTTCTATAACATGATGTTGCGCAAGAACACAACTATCGCGTTCTAGCAGAACAGGCTGTATTTCTTTTTGTAGATATTTTTAATCAACCTGCTCAAAACTGTTATGACATACCACTGGAGCAAATGGGACTTGCGCATATACTTTATCCCACATTGTAGTTACTGTTCAGAAACCCATAGATCACTCCCTCAAGTGACTTCTTATTATTGCTCATCTCCAGACAAAGTGATTCTACATCCTGATCTCCCAAACTAAGGTCATTTCAATCTATTACACCAATACTATCTTTGATTAGGGTTGCTTTCCCTCTAAATTGGAGTTACCCATTCTTCTTGCATATCATATACCTCTCAATATTCAAGAGTTGTCATCCTGCAACCGTGCCTCTGTAATAGATATCAAATGTTTACTTGCTTCAATGTGCACTATTAATGAATTACTTTGTCATTAGGTGAAACCCACATGCTGCATTCATAACAGCCTCAAGGCCTGGCCCCTGCAGCAGTTAAAACAGTAAACTCACGCTTTTAGAATACCAATTAAATGTTCTCAAATCCACTCTATCCCACACCTACTCCTCTTCAATGCAGCCTTCCCATCCCCTTCCTTACACATCCTCTCTAACTCCCTCCCCTCACAGTGGTTACTAAGGCATCACAACAATTTTCCAACTTTGAAACGGGGTCCCACAGGAAAAGATTTGGGGAACTTGTCTTAGACAGATCCTGACAGATCTATACAGTTCAAGCATTTCTTACTTAATTTCACATGAAACTCCATCATTCCATTGAATTCTGGGTTGTGAACTGAAAAGATGGCTCTAATATGGATTAGCATGGATGCAGCTTTGGAATTTTAGGCAGAGTGGCAGCTCTCCATTTGAATCTTGCAAAGAAAGGATGATTTCCATTTTGATTTTGGCCATTTCAAAATCTCTATGCAATAATGAGAAATTTCACAAGGTGCCTTGTTTGACCTTAGAAAATAGACAACTTTACCCTGCATCTCCACCTTGCTGGAGCGCTCGAAGGCTACAAAATTCTGACCAATATTTTTGATTGGGTTAAAATAAAGAATTATACACGTAGAAAGCTACTAGCATTTTACAATACATTTATTAATACACAGCCACTGTAGGAAATATATTTGATATCAAACATTCGATAACAGATTTAATTCTGTCCAGTACACACATTAGTTTATTAGTGTAGTGCACATGAACAGCTTTAAGTGTGCAAAATTGACACAATAAACATTACTTTTCAGACTTGCCTGTACAAAACCACATCCTCTTTAAAAAAAAAGTGCTCTCTGGAAAAAAAAATCCTATTTACATCTAGAAAGGTAAGCAGAAGATAACTAGTTCCTATGCACTAGTGAAATGACCACAAAAAAAATTCAAAAAATGTTGTGTAATACTGCTTGAGCAAATGGAAGCTTTTTTGATACTGTTTGAAGATTTACCAGTTAAGTACTTGGTAACTAAACTAGCACACAAGGGGCGATTTTTTGCTATCATACATAATCCTAGGATTGAACCTTACCAGAAATCAGCTAAAGAAGGGCAGGGCTGTTTGATTGCTGTCCACTTGGAGTATGTTCTGGGATATCAATGCCTTGGGACCAAGACAGCGGTTGGGAGAATGGGAACAGCATATTAATGATGCAAGATGACACACTAAGATGTTAATACATGCTGATGCATTTAAATTGGCCTCTTGTCACACACTAGCAAGAATTTCCTTTTGCCACTCAAAAGTTGGAAAACAGAATGTTTTGGTCTCAATGTCCAGAAGCTTCTCAGTGCCAATCGCATATGATTCTCCCAATTTTCTTACAAATTCCCATGTTTTTTGACTGGGAAGAGTCCACCCTTGGATACTGCAGCATGCAAACTCCAGCACTTTTGCTGCCTAATACTCAGCCTTCAACTAGCAGTATTTTAAGATCACAGAGATATCCAGGGGACAGGTATTCAATTTGCAAGAAAATATTAAGTTAGTAGATTCACCATTTATCAAGGTTTTGGTCGATAAAGTACAATTTTATGCCAAGAGGATCCTATCGCTATTAATATTTTATTTTTTTAAAATGATATTTTAATTTTTGTTTTTTTTTACAAGAGGCAATTGTAACAGAGCTCACTGCAGAAAAATTACCTGAGGGAGCAAATTGTTGCACATATATTTTTTGCTAGACCTCTAGCTATGTTCAGGCCAACTTGATGAAGGGCAACATTTTAAGCGAGTTTCCAAATTTTTATTTTTCCTAATGTAATACACTCAGACTATCGTAGGAAACACACCCAAGATTTCACAGCAAGTATTTGGGTACTAGGGAGGAAAGGCTGCAGTTTGCAGTGATGGGTGAGTGACAGCATGTGGAGGGGAAACAGAGTGGAAACGTTTGGTGTCAGAACATTGCAATAACATAAAATCCCTCAAGTTGTCTTTGAAATTAAACATTCTATGAACACAACAAAATCAGCAAGATATCTTGCACTCTGCACAGTATAACAGGACACCAATACAGATGCACTTACAAAAAAGCACCATCTTTGAAGCCATTACTTCTAAACAATAAGAGGGAATCAATGGGACATGCATTAAGAACAAATTTAGAAAACACTAAGCAGAAAGTTGACAGCAGCATACTTGTAAAGTCAACATTTCATTTTAGGTCATCACCACAAAACAGAACTTAAATAAATAAAAACCCTTTGCTTTGTGAAGAGTTTCAAATGGCAGGTTCAAGCCAATATTTCTTTGGATTTGAGTCAGGTGAGCACTATGGACAGATATCAGTTTAAGCTGGTTATTTCCTTAAGTGTTCTTGCTCCTCCTGACCGATAGCCACGAAACCAAACAAGACTAAAATCTTAACAAGGGGGAATTGTATAAAAAAATACAAAATCATCTTTTTCTAACATTACATGCAGTGTTGGTAAATAATTCCATCACCGAGCTGCATAAGGAGTGTCTACTACACATTGTGCAGTCAATTTACATTATCGTTAATAAATCTGTGCCTTTAATATAGTGGCAGCTGGTGACAGACAGCTCTTTAAAATCCTGGTCCTGGAACAGGAAAAACATAGGCTCCTTGACAGATCTGTGAAGTTAGAAGAAGGAAGCCCTGTTATGCCAATTGGTACTGCAGGCATTTAAAGAGCTGAAGCTCTCACTTTCACATTTGATTTCTAGGGAACAGAAGGATTAATTTATAGTCTAAAGAAGAGAAGGTTAACCATGTTTTTGTATGTGAAATTGGAAAATTATAAATGCTTTGTTGATTCACAAAACCTATTATGGAATGAGCATCTGCAGATAAAGCAATGGATTGCAGCCACATCAAGTTGGGAAGATCAATTGTTCAAGAAAACTTTCTTCATTTGGGATTTAAGCATCAGCAATGTCACAGGCCTCAGTCAGGAGGTATGTTCCTGGGTGCTTTTTCTCTATGTTTTGTTTTCTTGAGCAATTTATTCTCATTTATGTACAGCAACTTGACAATGTTTCAGAATTATTTTAAACAATCTTTATATCTCTTTTGCTCATCACCACAAAATAGTTTCTCTGTTGGCATTGCACTATAAAAAAATCTTATTTGGGAATTGTTCATCAGACATTAATATCATAGATCTGACCATCACAACTGTGCCTTCATAATCAAAGTATTCATGATTGGCACACCAGCGTTTTCGCTTTTTAAAAAAAACTTTGGTGTCAGGAATCCTGTCTTGTCATCTGATCTTTATTGTCTCAGGTACCTGAAATGCAAGTGAATCCATTTCTCAATGTGGTGTAAATACAGTATCTAGTTCCACAGGCATAATGCAGGGTCGATAGAACAGCTCCCCAAAGGATGCAGGGTTTGGTCTACAGGCTGATTCTCCATCTTGTCCCAGAGGCATTCATCGAGTTTAAAAGCTAAACTCTGGCAGAAGTTAAAACTTTAAACTGAATGTATCTGTATTAATGTGGATTCCCCAGACAGACCACTACCCAGATAGGTGAGTCTGTCCAAAGCTAGAATCCTATGATCATCAACTGAGAAAACTAATATGTGTAATCTTTGTCTGGGGATGGCTGAAAGAATGCCACTATCTTTTTAATACTCTTAGTCATGCCAAGTTGCAGGATAGCTGGTGCAAGGTAGTTCATGACTGTTTGTACATCAATGCGCGACAACAGCAGTCTTCAGCAAATTAGGAACAAATAAACACATTCTTCTAGCAGCTTAATTTTAGTGTGTAATCTTCTATGGTTGAAGAACTTTCCATTAGTCCTGAATCTGACTTTAATTTCCAGTCAGACTTTATTGAATGCCACAAGAAACACAGCTGGAAACAAAATGCTGAACAGTGAGGCTGCAAGGGCAATTTGTAGCTCAACCACATTTAGAACAAGAGATGGAACTGGCTCCATCCTCCCTCAGTTAACTGAAGTTTGTTCATTTCATTGAATCTTTTTAGATGCCCAAATTTAGAGAGAGAATTTTCCAGGGACCATCTGTAGTGATGGTGTTGTTCACATGACAAATGCATACAAAGACAAATTTTTGTCTTTTGTCTTTTTTTGTCTTGACAGATTTACATCATAAGATTATAACATTCACACCTCATCCCTTTCTGAACACTATAGAATCACTAGAGTGCAGAAAGAGGCTGTTCTGCCCATCGAGTCTGCACCGTCCCTCTAAAGAGCATCCCACCCAGACTTGGCCCCCTATCCTATCCCTGTAACCCTGCAGTTTACCATGGCTAATCCACCTAACCTACACATCCTTGGACACGATGGGCAATTTAGCATGACCAATCCAACTAACCTGCACATCTCTGGACTGTGGGAGGAAACTGGAGCACCCAGCAGAAACCCACACAGACACAGGGAGAACATGCAAACTCTGATGATTCTCCGGGAGGAACATTTTGGCAAGTGCAAAGCAATAACAAAATGCATGAAGACCCAATTTTGCCTGGTCAACAAAAACCTTTAAATAACTAAGCACTTACTGAACAGTATAAAATAATTGTTGAGTTTAATATACTAGAAGCATCACCTTTGTAACTGACTCGTCTTGAAAAGGTGGCCATCCATGACAAGCTTCGATGCTTTAACCTCATCATTTGTTTAGACATGACAGTACATTCTGCTCTTCCCAATAAGCAAGCTGTACATCCAGAAGTTCTTCTTTGGGTGTGTTCTTATCTACTGAGTAACGGATTTGCCACCTGGTTCAGCAAGAACCCAATTCTGCTGCACCAAGCATGCAGAGCAGGCCGTTAACGCTTGGATTGTGAATTAAGCTGGGAGTAGTGATAAGGCTCCAGAGGTACTCCAGGCTTTCTGTTCCTGATCACTATGCAAGGACTCCTGTTGGAAATAATGGACTGCTAAAATATGAAAGCTTATTTTAAATCTTCAAGTGAGGGAAGGAGAAGACTGACAAATAAGAGGTATTAAAAATGTCGAATTAAGTGGTACAAGATCATAAACTGGAACTGACAATCTTAAGCACAGATGAATAGGCTTTCATGCCTCTTGGGCCTGTCCTACCAATCAATAACACCGACACAGATCTGCTACTCATCTCTACATACGCCACTGTGCTACATCCCATAGTACCTCAGATTTTTTTGTTAACCAATCTATTAAAATTTTATTATCAAATGCCATTAAAAGAACAGTGTTCCAAAATCACAACACCCATTGTGTGTAGGAGCACTTCCTAATTTCGCTCCTGAAAAGTCTGGCTCCAGTTTTTTTAAACTTTACCCCATAGCCCTATACTCCACCAGAAGAAATTGCTTATGTCTATCTGCCCCATCTTTTCCCTTAATATGTTGAAAACTGAAATCAAAACGATCCTTTACCCTTCAAATTGCCAGGGAGTGCAAGCTTAAATTATGTAATATCTCCTTGTAATTTTACCTTGGCATCGAGATATCATTTGTCAAATTTAAAGTCATCTCCCTCTGAGGCCAATATCTCTTTCCTAAGTTATGATGCCAAGAGTTCTCACAGTACAGTGGTCTGATCAGGGCTTGTTTACTTGAAGCATAACTTTTACCCCCTTGCACTGTCATCTTCTAGATACAAAGGTTAGTATTCTATTAGAATTTCTAATTACTTTTTGTAACTACTTGTAATACTTTAATGATGAATCTACCTCGATACTCCTATTGGACCTCAACAATTTCTAGACTTTCACAAAGATATTGCTGTATTTATTTTTGTGGACTCCCCATTAAATGATGGTGAGGCCTGAGCATTTAATAATACAGAACCAGAAGACAGCAAGAATAGCAGCTCAGTTTTTTTTTTGTCTGGGCTTAGTTTGGCCTTAGGCACTTGTGCAAATTAGAATGTAATACAGTGAGATGAAATTCCAGGCTGGGATTATAACACTACTTGTGCGCAGAGAAATATAAAGAGTGACATTTGTGATAACAAAATGTAATAAATTCTATATCTACTTTAACCACATGAAGCTGCACTTAAAAATGGACTTAAGCAAAACAAAAAGAATATTAGGAATCTAATTTAGAGATGCAATAACATTCAAGATTATTTACACTGCCAGTGATGAACTTGCTGGATAGTTCCAGCAATTTCTTTTTACTTTAGAATTTCATTCCTTTCTTTTTGTTCACTATTCCAAATCATGTTTAAGGCATATCATATTCCACTCATAAAAACAAGAATTCACAGGCACCTTATTATAATGCAATGGAGAAAACAATGACAAAAAGAAGCAGGAATGAAAGCCTTTCCGGAAGAAAAAGCTGAATAAATATTAGATCAGGAACAGAAGTGCAGGTAGTACAGATGAGTATGGACTTGGACAATCAAATAGTCAATGATTTCTATGCTGATGGACTGTTTGGTGGAAAATTTATACAGTCTATTTCACACACATTAGACTTTACTTATGCATCTCGCAAGAATGCACAGCAACAAAAGCCAATTTGGCATCCAATCAAAACCAGCAGTTTCAATGGAAAGGACACCAAATATAAGTAAGTTAACTTTCTATCTAACATAGTGCCTGCCCTCTTCCAATTCCTAAACAATTCTCCACTGTATCAGCATTGTACTAGATTGCATTACCTGGCTGTGAATGATATATGTCAGTCAACCAAACCTGCAGGTTACCAAAGTCCTTGCCAGAATTTAGTAACAGATTGGTTAAAAGTATGTTGGAGGAGAAGTATGTGTTACAGAAATTTGCTAGTCTGCTAGGTTAATGCAGTCTTGCCCTTTTTACATTCTGGTCTATTTTCTAATTAGGTTAAGTTGCAACAAAAAGGGAAAAAGAAAATGCAAGGTCACTTTTAGGCTACTGGTTGTAAATACTTCTGCTTTCTGAAGGGCTGGAAAACATTACAATGCTATGCTCAATAAGCCCAAGCTAAAAGAACACACTGCCTAGATAGCTGCTGTTCATTTCAATGGATTTCACCCATGTTAGTGAATGATTAGGTGTCATTTAGCTGCAGATCAGCTTGGATCTTTGGTTTAAAGCATCAGTGTCAAAAATTGAGATGTCACTGGGAAAAAAGGTATCACTGGCCTCTTCTGCCAGTTCCAACAAAGTTGGCAACATATCTGTCTCATCTGCCCCCTTCACATCCTCCTTTGAGAGAGGCAGAATGTTGCAATCTCTCCTTTCAACTTCACCTGAAAAGAGAAAGCAAAAGGGAAAAGAATAATTCACAGAAACAGACAGATGGGTGGGTAATCTCTTATTGACCAGACACACAGAATGTAATTATACAGCCAATTGACACCAACTGACCCAGGGACTTCCCAAAGTTCTAATCCAACCAAACTGGCATTTCCCATTTACTATACTCCAACTACTAGAATTCAGAAATTCAAATAAAGTTACTTTTTCTACATTCTTTTATCAGAATATTTAGTCAGTGATTCACTCCAAAATAAACAAGAGCAACTGACCTCGTTTAGTCTGTAAATCTGTGTAATCTTGTTCCTCTTCTACACTTGTGCATTTTTGTCCACTCGCCTTCTATAAAAACAGATCCAGCAATTTAGTTACAATCTGTAATCTTCTGCACCAGTGAGACAAGAATGAAAGAAAGACAAACATTTGCAGTAAATTTATTAACAATGTCAATGTGAGACTAGGCAATGAGTACTTATGGGTTTTTGATACAACAGACAGCTAATTCTGTTTCAAACCAACATGTCCACTCCCAGCAGGATAAACAACCTGGGCTAAGGCCAATATTTCTACCTCGGGATCTTAAGCCATTCGAGTTCAGAAAGAAACAAGTCCTTACCAGAAGTTCCTGAGTCTTGAGATATTTATCTACATTTCCAATCTGGAATTACCACTTTTAAACAATATGTTTTAAGAACTTCAGTACTCTATATTAGACTCCACTCAAATAGTCCCTGCTGGTCTATCATCAGTAAGTGAAATGAAACAAGAGGGTGGAGCTGAAAATTTCTCAGTAAGGGCAAGGAGTCTTATGTTAATTGTTTTCCTCTCTCCACAGATGCTGGTAGATCTGCTCTGTCCTTTCCAGCATTTGCTGTTTATTTTTCTGATGATCATAATACTGAACTTTCCAATGTCTCTGCTTAAGTTCATTAATCCCTGATACAGAATAATGAACTATTCTAATCTCTCTGAACTAGTTGGTAGGAATGCCAGCTGCTTAATATATAATTGCTACTGTCTATGTACCTTGCAGGTATCCAGTCCTACTTCAGGATATGATGTTATTAATCCTCCAGTTGATGGGTTGAATAGCTAGGAAGAAATAATAAGCAATCAGACTGGTTCTGGTGTATTAAAGACATCATCAGCTCTCACTAATGCTACCTGATAACTCGTGTGCTTGTCTCAAATATGATGGAGCTCATAATTGGAGTACTGTGCACATCAGTTTGTGGCAATCTTATGCATGATGCAGAATGTCCAGAATTAAAACGTTTCAGTTGTTACTGGATCAGGTTATTTGAGATACAGTCAGAATATTGAGCAGAATATTAAAGCTGCTTTCCTCAACAAATAGGAAAATTTGTTTAAGTTCCAAAACCCTCATTTGGCTTGAATGGCAATATTTAAGTAGTGGAGAAATAGCTCAATTTTTTTCCATAATTCATCCCAAACCCAATCGGATTTTCCTTTGGATTTGGTGAATTGCTGTAGAATTGCTAAATTATTGAAAACATTTTGACTCTCACAGGCTTTTTAACTCTCTTTACAAAATATATGTGAAATCAAAGAAATCAAAGAAAGCCATTTTGTTCAGAATGTCTATGCCTGTGTTCTGATGAAAGGTCATCAATCGAAACTGGTAATTCTGTTTCTCTTTCCACACTCTACCACCTTTTGGATGTTTTCCACATCTTCAGTTATAATTCTTGATCTTTACTAAATATTTGCTAATTACCTCATAATTCGCCATGCTATATCACTGGTCACTCCTCTGTCATTCTAATAACACATATAATGAAGGATAATCTCCCCGAAACAAGTGACAAGTGACTCATCGCTGGCCTTTTTCACAGGTGCCATCAACACTTGACACCATTTCAGGTGTGTTTTCTTCTTTGCATATGGTCACAGCAGATTCTGATCATAAACAAGCTTCTACAATCACATTCCGGCAACACTCAAATGGACGGCGGTCAGCAACAGAACTCTGAGGGAATGCTTGCCCCATCGAATCCAGAGATACATGTGTCAGGCTTACTGCCCACCTGCAGATGCTACTGAGGGCATCCAACTGAGCAGATAGTAATCGGAACTGGAATGTTCTGGCTTGTCCATCATCCATCAGATGAGCTTTAGTCAGAACTCTTAACCTCCTGTTCTAGAAGGTAATGGTTTTGAAGGATGAATGCTCATATTACTTTCTACTGATGCCGCACAGAGTCTGTGGACCATAAGATGTAGGAGCATAAACAGGCCATTCAGCCCACTGAGTTTGCTCTCCCATTCAATGAAATCATGATTGATCTGATAATCCTCAACTCCACTTTCTTGACTTTTCCCTCTAACTTATGATATCTATCTCAGCCTTGAATACAATTAACAAGCCAGCCTGTACAATCCTCTACAGTTCAAACTGGCTTTTTCAGGTTTTAAAAAAATCTTTCCCAGTCCTCCGAGTTACCAGTAATCTTGGCCATATTGTATGTTTTTCCTTTCAATTTGATGTTATCCTTAGATTCTGTGGCAACCATGGTTAGTTTTTGATAGACTTCGGATTACCAATGGCATAAAGGATTTTGGGGATGAGGTGGATAAAAGGCATTTTAGTGTTTGATCAGCTATGATCGTAATGAATGATGGGGCAGGCTTGATGGAGTGAAAGGCTTACTCCTATTTCTTTGTTCCTATATTTTTCCCCGTCTTGGAATCTCTCTCCCTTACTGGGAAACATCTTTGTTTCCATTGTTCCTCAATAGTCTTTTCTGCTAAACACCTTTCGCAGTCCACTCCAGCCAACTCTGCCCTCATTCCTTTGTAATGACCCTTGCGTAAGTTTAGCACAGTTGTTTCTTTCCCAAATTTCTCACTCTCAAACTGAATGCTAAATTCTACCAGGTTATGCCTGCTGTTTCTTAGCAGATCTTTTACACAAACATTAGTTTATTAAACCTGCATCTCCACACATTAATAGATTTAAAAGTAGCCTAATCTCTGACTGGATCACATCATATTGTTCTAGGAAACTGTCTCTTATATATTCTATGAATTCTTCCGTGTGGTTATCTCTGCCAATTTGGTTTTCCCAATCTACAAGATTAAAGTCACCCATGATTAGTGTACTGCCTTTTTACATGCCCTCATTATCTCCTCATGGAGGCCCCCTGCAGACAGCCCTTGGAAGAGACTGTGATATTTGTCTTTAACTTTGCTTCTTGTTTTTCTTATCTATGATTATAGTGTGCATAGCTGTAATGTAAATTTTTTTCTTCATTTCTCTTTTCTGTAACTAAGGATTGTACCTAGGTACTCTGTACCTAAAATGGTGCTGTAAGTGGCGGCTTAGAAACTTTTCACGGTACTTGAGACAATAAAGCTATTCAATTCAATTACTACTTTCTGTCCTATAGAACAGCTACAGTTAGGAGACCTATAGGTTACTCCCACCAATGTCTTCTTGCCTTGTTATTTCTTACCTCTATCCATATGGATTCTACATCTTCTGATGCAAGATAATTTCTTACTATTGTACATATTCTTTCTCATACCAACAAAGCTACCTACTGCCCTTTCCTTCCTGACTGTCCCTTTGAAAAGTCATGTATCCCTGAATGTTTATTCCAGCTTTGATCTCCTCATAACCATGTCTCTATAAATGGCTGAAGAACATACGTTGATTATTACTTGTGTTGATAATTCATTTACTTTGTTCCAAATACTACATGCATTTAACTAAAATAAAAATTTGACTACTTACAATTTTTATTTTCTTTCCACTATTTGCTGTCATCTATGTTCTTTGCTACCCCAATCTCATCATCCTAAAAGCTGCCCTCAAATGCTGCCATATTTTCTTGCTTTGTAAGCCTACATAACCTGTCTCCAAAGTACCACTCTCCCACACCCTTCCTCTAATTAGTTTAAGCCTTCTCTGTAGCCTTCGTTATTCAATTCACCAGAACACTGGTCCTAGCATAGTACAAATGATGCTCATCTGACCATAACAGCTCCCTTGTAACCCACTACCGGTGCCAGTGACCCATGAACTGAAACCCATTCCACTTACACCAATCTTAATACCTTGACTATATTTACCTAATGCCATCTTGCCTGTGGCTCAGGGTGTAATCACAATTTCTGCAGTAAACTTGTGTGGAACTCCTCTTTATCTGTTTGAACTGAATTCCCACTTTGAACCAAGTTCCCAGGTATACTCATTCAGCTTTTGTCTCACTCAGCTGAAGACTCCACTCACACTGACCACAGGATGCTTAATACTAATATCAGGTTTTGTTTTTGGAAACAGAAAAATGCATCCTCCACACAATTAACGGATAAATACAGATCTAGATACTACATTATTTTCAAAATAACTTTTTGACTCACATCTTTCAGTAAATCCAAATTTGTGTTTAAACGTGTGTTGCTGAGCGAGGAATGTATTTGAGCCAAACTGTTGTCAATCATATCCAAATGATCAATTATTTCACTTCTACAGAGCAAAAGGAAAAATAAAACAGAAACTATCAATCTACAAAAATGTAACTGGTTGCAGTCATTAATCACCTTCACCCTCAGAGCCCAGAAAAACATCAGTGATTCACTGCTTTGGGGCAAGAACTTTTTTTTTTAAAAGAATGCCCATTATTCTTGGTTGTAGCATCACAGTAACACCTTCAAATAGTAACTATATTGATAAATTTATGACAGCTTTTTTGCTGTAAACCACTCTGGGCTAATATAACAGCGATAAATCTGCCCACGCTGGCAATCTCATTCTGTAGAACTACAAAAACAGCTGGTAGAGAAAAAGAAAACATGATATTGAGAGAGTGGGCAGTGTTCTATGAAATATCACAGCAGTGTTCAAGATGCTTTACCCTTCACCTAGAATGGATTGAATGTAATGGCTTCTGCTCCCAATATTGCTTTGTTACCTCTGGAGTTGCCCAAGGATTGATTCTTCTGTTTCTCTCATGGGAGAACTAAACCATTGCTTTTGATTCCCCACACAAACCCTGCTTACTGTCAGTAGTTTCCATTCTGCATAACCATCTTAAACTGAGAACTATCATTTGTGACTTTAATGTTCAATTTGACCCAAAGTTGAGCTTTCAACGACAGATGAACACCAAAACTAAACCTACTTCTATCCCCTAGTATTGTTTGGCTCCAAACTTCACTTAGCTCATTTGCTGCTAGGAGAGAGGATCTGCAAAGGTGAAAGAGGAATTACAAGTGAAGACGGGGAGAGGGAGGAAAGGGGAGAGAGGAGAGAGAACAATGGAATATTCCACCATCTGGGAACCAGGAAACTTGAAGTCACTGAGGTATTAAGTTCTCAGCAAATGGATGTGGAATCTCCAGCTTACGGCCGCAGAGTCCTTGATGTACTGATGTAGTTATTGTAACAAGGTCAGCCAGGTGGACCTCAGAATATGAGTTCCCTGATTGGGACCAGATTAGCCCAATCTGGTAGTCCTGGCTGACAGATATAAGCAGGAGTATCAGAGGTTCTGTTCACTTTGAGAGCTAGCTCTGAGGAAGTTAGATCAGAGTCAAGGACTCTCCACGAATAAGTAAAGGGTGACTTGGTGATAGTCTCTGAAGTTATTTCACTACGTAGGTAAAGGATGTAGTGGATGCTACTATAATGAACACTGCATTGGTTGGATAATTTAATACTGAACAGTTTTACATCAAAGATTTGCATTTATGTGTTATCACATCTTACATTCTGTGATTTACTTGAGGTGTAGTGACTGTTAGACAGACATGCAATACTTCCTCATGACTTCATTGGTCTGGAAAGAAATTTCAGGTTATGGTTCTTCTGTGAATAGAAATGTGTGTCTGTATTTAATTAAAAAACGCTTCTTGCTAACTTGTGAACAAAAACAATGTTGCTGGAAAAGCTCAGCAGGTCTGGCAGCATCTGTCAAGGAAAAAACAGAGTTAACGTTTCTGTTCTGAGCAAGGGTCACCGGACCCGAAACATTAACTCTGTTTTTTCCTTCACAGATGCTGCCAGACCTGCTGAGCCTTTCCAGCAACTTTGTTTTTGTTCCTGATTTACAGCATCCACAGTTCTTTCAGTTTTTATCTTGCTAACTTATGCCTATTATATTTAAATATTGCAGTGTGCGGAAAAGTAATGCTTTCTTTGTGCATTGTGACTTTAGGTTTAATGGAGTGACAATGATTAATGAGGATATTGATGAATTCTTCTAACTCTGTGACTGTGTGCTTCGAAATGTCAATATAAATGCTGAAGATATGTTACTGCATCATCTCATAAAAAAGTTAGCAATAAATTAAAAAGGAGCAGCAGAAAACTAAAAAGCAATCCCTGAAAATTAAAAAGTAGCCCTCAGAGGGAAAAAAATATTTTGAGCCTTGCCTGTGCCAATTCAATGTGGATTTCATAATTCTGCTGTCAGTACCCTAACAAGCTTCAAATTTCATTCAACCATCACCCCTTTGCTTGCTGAATTTTACTCCCAGTCAGATGACACATCAGTCTTTAAAATGAACATTGCTGTTCATCCCTCTTCAAGGTTCCCCTATCCTTATCTGCTCAGCCTGCACCATCCCATTGGTCTTCTAAACTCTACATTCCTCCAATCTGTCCTCTTAAGCATCCCTGATTTTGACTGCTCTACCATTGGTGGTCAAGCTCTCAGGTGCTTTGGCCCTAAGTTCTGGAATTCCCTCCCTGCCCTTAAGATGTTCCAAAAAAAATGCAAGCTCTCTGATCAAGTTTTTGGTCATCTTTCTTCCTGCTGTGATGTGTTGGAAAAGTGCCAAAAATCTTTTTCCTGATATTGCCCCAGGATATTTTAAATGCACTATATAAATGCAAGTTGCTGTTACTGTATTCCTCGATGTAGACAATGGGTGAGAAAATCAGAAATATAATCCTGGGCAAACAATATTTACCAGTGCTATAAACAGTATCTGACAGAGTGGATGGATTAGATCAACAACGGTTTTGAAGCCATTAGAAGATGCAACTCGAGAATATTTATCCATTTTTATGCCCACTATTCAATCTGTTTATGATATCTTCCACAAAGAGTTGCTCGCTACAATTATTGACTGCTGTTTAGAGTACGGACATAGAAAGTCAAAGCAGCCAAACAGCCCACTCCTTCCAAGGCTGAGCATAATCACAGAATGGTGAAAAATAATCCTTAATTTCTGTGGATTAACTATTAAGTAGAATCTCACTGGTCAGGACTTTCTTCAGCAGTCGTTTGGCAGTTTTCATCCAGGAGATCGTCATACAGATTGTGTGATGCAAACGGTGAAGATGCTGTGCTTGAAGTGGCAACTAGATTATCTGTATCTGTGCTGAACAGTGTTTCACCAGAATTCAGCTTTCCAGTCACAAAACTGTGCAGGGTGAAACAGACAAATATGAGAAAGAAAGAATCAAATAACAATTCTCAGGTCAATGCTATGAATGTAATTAATTTGAAACCAGGGATGATAGTCTTGAGTTATGAAGCAATGATTGAACTCCACATTAGAATAAGATTAAGAGATTCAATATCATTGTTTCAAAAATCAAAGCTTTTGGCATTAAAAACAATACTGTACAATCATTGCACTGATCAGAAGAGACAGTAACTGGAGCGCATAAAATTTAATGTCAACAAAGGAAGTGTCTTTCAAGATTACTGAGGAATTATATTAAAACGTAAGACATTAAATAAATTTAGTTTAAGGGACTAAAATTCCCACAGCAGCAACAAGTCGCTTGGGGTAAGGGAGAGTGAAAGAGACATGTAGTTTCAGCAGGAAGAGCAGATTTATGGAGTTCTGCTGCATACAAATGACTTCAACCTCAGAGTCGTTACATTATTTGAGACACGAGATCAGGTGTTCATAATTAATTTCTTCTCTGTTATCCATCTAGCCTTACTTCATCAGGACAATGGATAGTCTGATTAATTGCAAGCACAAAGAGAAACGTGTTAAGGGGAGGAGGGACATCCAAAAGTGCTTGTTAGTTTAACTGGCAGTTTTACTGGCCAGCCCTTAAACAGGCCTCAGCCTTCTTGACAGAAGGCAAGAGATTAAGTTGTTAACATGCTGTTGTGAGACAACAGCAGGTGAATACAATGGCCAGGAGTCAGTTCTAGAAGGTCAAAAGTTTGCAAATTACATCTGGAAAAGGACCTTGAATCAGACACAGAGCTTTACCTTTGTTCTTCACCAGGCAGATCGGGACTCCCAATCATGTGTGTGATTTCAGAGATGATAACACCTCCTGGATAAACACTGCTTTTCTCACAGGTTTCACATTTCTTGGTGTAACAAAATAAAAAGACAAGGATTTAATTCTGTGCATTTCACAAGAGGTTTCACCATTAGCTCAACTTTACATGGCCACAGCAGTCACAGTCGAGATTCCATAAATCTGTAGCAATAAAATTCAAGCTAGCAAAACCACCAAGAAACTGCAAAAATTCAAAAATTTCCCCAGTTTGTGAAGAAAGTGTAGCCTATTTTAAGTATGTATCGACATTCTTCATTGTCATGCTTGATTATTAATCCACCTTTCCTTCTAAATCCTGAAGTCATGTTGCTCTGTCCCTCTCTCCTGCACACCCCTCTCCCAAGTTTATGTTGGCAATTTCCTGCCTCTCCAACTTGTTAATAGTATTTCTTCTCTGAAGTCCACACAATGAGTCCTGCCCATCTCTTAGCGAGACAAGAGAAAATAAAACTAAACCAAAATTTGCTGCACACCATGGGCAGGATTTTTTTTGGTTCTGTGAAGCTGCTGTGAGATTAGGAAATTTTAAACTATAGTGTTCAACCTTCTGGAGTCACAGTATTAGAAAAAAAGGAGAGCAATGTGTGTTACAAGTTAAAAACGAGCTGGATAACTTTTGCAGGGACACACAATACCTACAGATTCAAATGGTAAAATATGACACAGGTGACCAATAGCACTAGCCATAAGGGTGACTAGTAGGGAAACAAAATATCATATTTTGTACAATATAAAGATACGTCAGTGGAGAAATATAGCACAAGTATTATTCTGTATATGAAAAAAAATTGTACCTGCCACAGCCACTAGGTGGAGGAGTTTGAAAAACATTTTAGTATCTATTATAGGCATCTTTTATAGAACCAGAATCATACAGGATTGAAGAGGTCCTTCAGCCCATCGAGTCTGCACTGACACAAAACTACTCTAAATCTACACTAGCCCCACTCTCCAGCACTTGGCCCGCAGCCTTGAATGTTGTGACATTTCAAGTGCTTATCCAAGCATTTTTTTTAAAATTGTGAAATTAGCTGCCTCAACTACCATCCCAGGCAGTACATTCCAGATCCCCACCACCTCTAGGGTGAAAAATAATTTTGTCAAATCCCCTCTATATCTTCTGCCTTTCACTATCATATTGTATCCCCTTGTAATAGACCCTACAACTAGGGGGAGCAGCTGCTTTCTATCCATCCTGTCCATGCCCCTCATAATGTGATGCACTCAATCCAGTCCACCTGAGCGTTCTCTACTCGAAAGAAAACAACCTGAGCTTATCCAGCCTCTCTTCATTGCAAAACTTTTCCAACCAAGGTAACATCCTGGCAAATCCCCTCTGTACCCTCTCTAGTATGATCGCATCCTTCCTATAATGCAGTGACTAGAACTAGGCAGAGTACTCCAGCTGTGTCCTAACCTGTACAGCTCTGATAAACCTCCTTGCTCCTACAGTCTATGCAATAACTGATTAGGGTAAGCATCCCGAATGCCTTCTTAACCACCCTATAACCTACCCTGGTACCTTCAGGGATTTAGGGTCAAGCACTCCAAGATCCCTCTGCTCTTCTGAGCTTCCTAGCATCCTGCCATTCACCAAGTACTCCCCTGTCTTGATTTTTCACCAAAGTGCATCACCTCACACTTTTTAGGGTTAAATTTCATCTGTCACTGATCTGCCCATCAGACCAATCTATTTATATCCTCCTGTAACCAAAGACCTTATTTCTCACTCTCAATCACCTGACCAATCTTTGTGTCATTCGCAAACTTACTTATCATTCCCCCAACAATTTCTTCCATATCGCTTACATATATCGCAAGCAATAAAAAGACCCAGCACTGATTTCTGTGGTGCATCACTGGGCACTGGTCTCCAGTCACAAAGTCTTCTACCCACACCCTCTGCCTCCTGCCACTAAGCTAATTTTGGATCCGACTTGCCAAGTTACCCTGGATCCTGCAAGTTTACCTTCCTTATCAGTCTCCATGTGACATGTGATCAAAGGCTTTGCTGAAATCCATATAAACTACATCAACTGCACTATGCGCATCTACACACCTGATCACCAGCTTGAAAAATTTAATCAAATTTGTTAGGCATTATCTCCGTCTAACAAAGCCATGCTATCGCTAATCAAACCTTGCCTCTCCAACTGGAGATTAATTCTTTCCTTCAGAATTTTCTCCAAAAGTTTCCCTACCACTGACATGAGACTAGTCTTTAAATCTCTGGTTTATCTCTACCACCCTTCCTGACTATTGGAACTACATTAGCTGTCCTCAAATCCTCTGGCCAGACAGGAATTAAAAATTTGGGTCAGTGCCCCTGTAATTTCTTTCGTTGTCTCCCACAGCACCCTGGGAAACAAATCATCAGGACCTTTGTCTCCCTTTTCCTACCAGGCAAGTTTAAGCTCCTCCCAACAGGAATAACAAACCTACCTGACAGAATGGGACCACAAACCTGAGGGAGATGCAGATAGCCACATTGGTACAAGTCGCACCTTTCCCAGAATCAGTCCCAGTGATCCAGGAATCTAAAACATTTCCCCATGCACCAACTCCTGAGCCACACATTCATCAGCCCTCTTCTCCTATTTCTGTATTCACAAGCACATGGCACCAGGGGTAATCCAAAGATTACAACCTTTCAGGTCCTGCTCATTAGTCTGCTGCCTAGCTCCCTAAATTCTTGATGCATGAGCTCTTCTCTAATTCTACCTGCTATATTGCTACCAATGTATACCACAACACTCATCTCATCATTCTCCCTCTTCAGGGTACAAAAGGTAAAGTCACATGGTATTATGGGTGAGCTGGCAAGATGGATACAGAACTGGCTTAGTCATAGGAGACAGATGGTAGCATTGGAAGGATGTTTTTCAGAATGAAGGGTTATGACTAGTGGTGTTCCACAGGGATCAGTGCTGGGACCTCTGCTGTAAATAATTTGGAGGATACCGCAGCTGGTCTAATTAGTAAGCTTGTGGACGATACAAAGATTGGTGGAGTTGCAGACAGTGGAGGATTGTCAGAGGATACAGCAGGATATAGATCAGTTGGAGATATTGGCAGAAAAATGGCAGATGGAGTTTAATCTGGACAAACACGAGGTGATGCATTTTGGCAGTGAATGGCAGAACCCTTAGGAGTATTGATATGCAGAGAGATCGGGGTGTGCAGGTCCACAAGTCACTGAAGGTGGCAGAGCAGGTAGATACATTATAAAAAAGGCCTATGGCATGCTTGCCTTCATTGGATTGAGTATAAGGATAAACAAGTAATGCTGCAGCTTGATAGAACTTTAATTAGGCCACTCTTGGAATATTGCGTACAGTTCAAGTAACCACACTATCAGAAGGATGCGGATGCTTTGGAGAGGGTAAGGTTAAGATTGTGAATGGCATGCATAGAGTGGAAAGTATGAGGCTTTTTACCAGGGTTGAAGGGTCAATTACTTGGGGACACAGGTTCAAGGTGCAAGGGATTGGGGGATAAGTTTAAGAAAAGATGTGCAAGGCAAGTTTTTCACACAAAGGGTGGTGAGTGCCTGGAACATACCACCAGAGGAGGTGGTGGAAGCAGACACAATAGCAGCGTTCAAGAAGTACCTCGACAAATACATGAATAGGAAGGGAATAGAGGGATACGGATCCTGTAAGTGAAGACAGTTTTAGTATGGAAGGGACAAAATGTGGCAGTGCAGGTTTGGAAAGCCAGAGGCCTGTTCCTGTGCTGTATTATTCTGTTCTTTGTTCAGGATGCCTTACAGCCGCTCAGTGACATCACTGAACTTGGCACCAGGGAGGCAGCATGCCATCCTAGAGTCATGTCTGCTGCTACAGAAATGCCTGTCTGTTCCTCTAACTTGTGAATCCCCTCTCACTATTGCTTTTCCTTTCTTCTTCCTTCCTCCTGTACAGTTAGGCAACTTGTGTTGCCAGAAGCTTTGCTCTGTCTGCAGTCCCTTGAGGAACTAATGCCCTCGACAGCTTCCAAAATGGAAAATTGATTTGTGACCACAACTCCAGGGGACTCTGGCACGACCTGCCTGATTCTCCTTGACTGCCTGGTGGACATCCGTTCCCTTCTTTCCTCCGGTCCCATTTCTATAGGTGCCATCTACGTAACTCTCAGCCTCACAGATGTGCCACGGTGTCTCGAGCTGCCATTTGAGCTCTGAAACACGGAGCTCATGTTTGTGCAATTGGGAGCACATCCTGCACACATGATCACCCAGAACGCTGGCAGAGTGCTGACCTCCCACATGCAACAGGACACACATTCCACTCAGCTGACCTCACCTGCCAGGACTTCAACTTGAACTTACTTAGTCTGACTTGCTAACTTTTCTAATTACTTAATCTTAAAGATACTCCCTTTATCTTAACTTTAGTCTCTCTCTCTCATTCACTGATATTTTCTTATCCCTGGTGATTCTCAGTTAATTCCTTAGTAATCTCCCAGCTCTTGTGTCTTGGTCTTCTTCTGCCCCAGTTCAGCTGTAAAAATAGTTAGAAAATCAAAACAGCACAGAAAAAGAAAAGAAAGGCATTCCTATCCCAATTCACCTAACTTCCACACTAACCAAACTGCATCACTTCAATCACAGCTGATTGCACAAAGACCCTTTATTTAAGATTTTCTGCCTCAACTGTTTCAGGAACTAGTTAAAACAAATTAACTGTTAACCCCAATTAACTATTCAAGCTTCAGCAGCCCCAGCCACCAGGAGGGATTGTTTTTTGCTCTCTTCAGCCCTAAAAGAGACTTAACTGACTACTCTTTAGAATTAAACACTACTAAACTGTGTTATCAAAGAACTAGCAGCAATTAGCACTAAGTTCTACGACAAGAGATTAACACTTAAACTTCTATCCTTCCCAAACTGTATAGTCCACTCACTGCTCGATGCACTCTATATATCTAAGGTAACAGCTTCTCTCAAGATTTTTACTTCTGAGCTTCAAAGCCGGACCTAGTTCTCATCTACTCCTTCCAAAAATGCTACTATTTGTCGTACCAATTAATTTCCTGTTCAACTGGGGAAGGTTATTATCAACTCGGATATGTGAAATAACTTCATTGTTATGAACTAAGGGAAAAAGAATTGTTGAAGTTCCATCTATAAGCAATTTACCTTTAAGTTTAAATTTTACTAACGTTGTCATTCCCCTATCACCTACAAATAGCATAATTTACAAACTCTTCTTCCTCTTTGTTTCATGATTTTGAAAATGCACCGTCTCCTATATCTGATCCATCTCTTCTCCCAGAAGCTCAAAATTGGTGGAATTCTTCAAGTCCCTCAGCTTCGAACACAATTTTCAGGATTTCAAAACAAAACTTAACGTCTCATCATTAATTGATTCTGCCTTTCACTGTCGCTCCTGGCCTTTATCTAACTTCTCAATAAACATTTTTCTAACTTACCGGAATACCGTGTACAGCTGTACCATCCTGACTGCTGTCCATAGTGATGGGCCGACTATACTTTGGGTAGGAGGGAGCCATACCAGAAGTACCAATCATCAGAGGCCTAAAAGAATCATTTGCAACAATTGATTAAAGATGCACGAAAGCAATTTGTAAAAGATGCATTACTGAGTACTTCTGACCGTTTCGAATAAGCAGCAACAAGATTCGTTATTAGACTACTTCATCAATATGCAGGCATGAATGCAAGAAGACCCAAAAATAAAGCATCTAGATCACAATACTCAATTAACCACGGCTGTTGATTCTGAGACAGAGTGCATGTAAACTTCATGCTGTCTACTCATTTAAATTATTTAAATTAGCCAGGGCTAAGCTTGATGCTAAGTGGCAGCACGCATTAGCAAAAGTCACAAAATCAAGAGAGTCCAACATTTTTCTGATGAAGGGTCTAGGCCCGAAACATCAGCCTTTCTGCTCCTATGATGCTGCTTGGCCTGCTGTGTTCATCCAGCTCTGCACCTTGCTGTCTCGGATTCTCCAGCATCTGCAGTTCCTACTATCTCTACTTTCTTTATCTTATGTTTTGTAAATTCAAAAATGGCTGTTTGTGATATTAATAAATGATTACTTGCGCAACATGTTCATGTGACATTCTGTTACATTATTAAAAGCGATATAATCTAATTTGAACTGAACAGGTTAATCACCACAAAAAATTAGCTGGCAGGAGAGCCTCATGAATATGTAATCAGGTGATACTATCATTAAACTGGCGGACTTTGAGATTTTGCAGTGTGGCTGTAGCATCCATATCTCTGGGCTAGGAGGTCTGTATTCAAGTTCCATGTGCCCCAGAGGTCATAACATGTCCAAAAAGGTTAATTAAAAAAAATCTTAAACTAGCAGACCGATACAGGTCAGATGAACATATCACTCACCTGTATACTGGCATCCAATTCCTGGATATGCTCTTTCTACCATAATACGAATTAAATTCTTAAATTCTATCTAAGTAGAAAGCAGTACATACTCCCTTTGTATATCCACCATAACACAATAACATTGTAAAACTATACATAGCATATCAATATAGACCTTTAAAGTTGGTTGTTACTGTTAATTTCAAAAGACAGGTTTTCTGATTTTACTTTTAACATTAAGAAAGAGAGAAAAGTTTGCAGGGAAGGAAGTAAAATTAGAGCCAACAGAATCAGTTCTTGTTTTAAAACATCAGAAACAAAGCAAGTGACCTGTGAAGCATAACCAATTATGATGCCAACCCATATTTTTTTATGGCAGTTCTAAAAATAATGAAATGCAGTTCCTGCCATTCCAAACTCTCTGGCTTGAAAATGAAA